CTACACAACTTGGGGATGAGGGTAATATTTTAAAAAAATAACCTTTCTGTAAAATAATTCATTTTTATTCTCTCAAACACAAATGAGATCTATGTGTGCAGGGTAAGAACACGGAAGCGTCCCCAACCCTGCCACCACCAGTGTTTCTTTCTGGCCCTCTTGTTCTAGGCTGTACAGGAGTCCCGGGACCGTCAACTTGGCCACGTTCATTAACACCAACATCCCGTGTTAACGCGAAAGTACACTAAACGATGCATCGTAAGGTTCAGACTGCTGTCAAGAGGGCACAAGTACACATGGCTACACCTGACATATTAAATACAGAGATATCTCGATACGGAATTGTAGACCAATCCAACAAGACAGCCATTTTCCAGACCGATCGCAATCCTACCAGGGGCAAAAGCCCAACGACGTGCGCCCAGCACCAGGGCCCACGGCTCCTCCACGGCAACGACAGCGCCCCTTCCGCAAAGACTCGACGTGAGCCCTCGGGGGTCACGGCAGCGAGGCTGCCTCCTGAGCGGCCTCTGAGAGCAAGCACGTGATAAGAGCTCACCCATCGTGTACATCTCCGTCTTCCTACAAGCTTCTCTGGAGGGGACACGGATATGAATCATTAATCCCACGGATCACTGATCCCGCAGAACTCGGGGGGCGGGAATCCGAGTCTTCAAAGACCACTACTGCTAAAGCCAACCGCATTTTAAAAACAAACACACGACAAATCCCCTGCATCCCTGCCGGGCCTGTGGTCTCGGCATGCTTAGGCAGAGCCAGGGCTTTCGGCGTGGCCTCACTGCCATGCAACTGCTGACAGATGCCAGTGCAGAAACCCATCCGTCACTGCGCTAACGGACGCACGGAGGGCCGGAGGAGTGGGGGTGAGGGGCGCAGCCACTGGCCCTGCACTGGCCCTGCACTGGCCCCCTCCCCAGTTTAGAAATAAAACCTCTCCTCAGAACCCTACGAGCCTGTGCACGAAAGCACCCGGCCCTCTCACTAAAGCCACGCCTGTGCCCCTCACAGCTGGCAGCGGGGACACTCGGCGGAGTCTGGCTGGGCCTCCTAAGCGGACGTCTCTCCGCGCCCTGCCGGTGGCCTCGCGGGCACGCTGGTGTCACGCCACTGGGGCTGGGCACACCTGACGGTGATTCCCTACTACCTCTTTGCTCCGGCTTCCTTGGAGCTTCCTGAAAGCCAAACCACATCTTATTCAGCAATGAGTCCCTGGCACAGCACAGAGGACGGACACTTGAGGCCCTGGCTAAGTATCTGCTGAATAATAGCGGAACGGGGCTCACGGGCTCGGCCGCCCTGCCCTCTGTGCAATGTGTCTCGCGGGCAACTGTGCTGGTTTCAATATGTCCGCAGGTTCTTTGACACTCCTTCCTTCAAGAGGGAGTCTCGTCCCCTCCCCCTGAACGGCAGTCGGACTTAGTGACTCATTTCTACCGCAGAGAATGGGGTGGGATCGACGCGACTGGTCTTCCGAGGCGAGGTCGCTCGAGGAGAAGCTCCGCCAGGTTGTCATTCTCTTGGATCACTTGCTCAGAAAGAAGTCACCTGCAAGTCATGAGAACACTCCAGCACCCTGTGGAGAGGAGCTGACGACCTCCACCAACAGCCAGCACCAACCTGTCCGCCGTGAGTGAGCCACCTTGGAAGTGACCTTCGGACCCCAGTCCAGCCTTCAGAAGACTGCAGCCCGGGCTGATCCCAGACAGCAAACTAGGAGAGACTCTGAGCCAGAGCCGCCCCGCGAGCCGCTCTGGATACCTCATGTGCATAACAGGTGAGGGACTGTGTTTGCTGCTGTTAAACACTGAGTCTGGGGCCAGCTGTTACGCAGCGATCGATAACTAATGCAGCAGCCTTGGAGGAGTTTCACGTGGTTTCATCAGGGACTTCAGGGGATTTTCTTAATGACAAAGTGATTTTATGGTTATGCCATGCTTACAATAAACATTTTGTAATTAGTGTTCTAATTACAATCCTAACGTGACTAATATACAGCTTTAAACACTCCATAGATCGAATTATACTACCTTAAAAATCTAACAATTATTTCACTAAATGTTGGGATGTGATACAGAATATGACAATAAAATCCTTTTTGGAGGTTTTTTGTTTTAAAAATTATGTGTTGCCTATGCATAAAAAGTCTTAACAGTATCCATCAAAACCTTAACAATAACTTTCTCAGGATGATAGTATTTTTTTTAACTTTTTTTCCCCAAAATCTACAAAATGTATATTACTAGTGTCCTACATTTTAATTAAAAATTTTTATATTCCAATTAAAACAGCAGCTATGCATTATTGGGCTTCTATCCCTGACATCTAACACCATTAGCGGCACACAGTAGGTGCTCAATAAAACCGCAAACGATGACCTTTAGGGATATAGATCCTGCCTCCTGAACAGCAGTTCTATAAAGGGGTTCCAGGATAACGAAGACCAAAAAGCTCAATGATGTGAAGAGGCAGCAGTCAATTTTCACAGTCAACAGGCTACGGAAAGTATAGGAAATCATTTCGACGGTGTATTCTTAGGATGCAGTAACCACTTTTCTCTTTGAAACTGAGCATTTTGAGTGAGTTATTATAAATTTATAATGACAGTTGTGAACACCTCTTTTTTTTTTTTTGGCATGAGCACAGAGTCTGTTGATTGCCTCGGTGCTTAAAATAGTTTCTAAGTGTCCTCATAATAGCATGTCACCTGTAAACAGGTTTCAAGCCAATGCAAATTAACAAATGGTGAACAGATGGACTAAGAACTGACTTTTGTCAAGAGAGAGTTAGCAACACACACTTTTTTGGCTCTCGTCTTGTGGGACCATTAGAAAGTCTTTCACTTCTTGCCAAACGCCTTGCCTCGGCAGACAATCCGTGCAGGGAAACTGACAAGTTACGAAGCCCATTAGACTTCTGAGAGCTGAGAGTTGAGATCTGCAGACTCACCACATCGACACGTGAGAAACAACAAAGAGACTCATGTTCATTAAGAAGCTTTCTGCCAACGAGTGAAAACTCTGTCTTGCATCACTCAAAGAAGCTGTCCCTGCAGACTCTGAAAGAGATGGCACCTGTGCAGGCAGCAGACAAAGCACTTGCTGGAGACTGGCTGGTTACGTGCAGTCTAACCCGGAAGCAAATCTTCACTGTGAAGAAGCCCCGAGAAATCACAGAAATGGTGGTCTAAGGGTGTCCTCCAGCAGGAGAGAAGGCCCCCGGTCACCCTGAGACCTCCCAGCGTCTCCCTGGCCTTTCTCCTCCTCACTCTCCGCGTTTCCACCTACGTCATCTCCTTGGCGAGGCCTTCGCAGACCCCCCGATTTAAACGGTGGCCGCCACTCCTGGCCACCCCACGTGTTCCCTTCCTGAGCACTAATCGTATCCAGAAGCTACCGCATTTACTCATTGGTTTAGAGGTGCTTTTTCTGGTCTCTTTCCCCCAGTAAACGAAAAGCTTCGGGACGATGGGACCACGTCTGTCCTGCCTGTGACTGTGTCCCCAGAGCCGAGGCCAGGGCCTGGCAGACAGTAGGTACGCTAAATATTTACTAATCAAACAGAAAATAAATGAAGGCAAACAACTGAGCCTCGTCTGCGAACGCTCCTCCGGACTGGAACGTTTGGAACGTGGCGTGTGACGGAGGATGCACATGAAGGAGGGCGGAACAGGCGGCAGGACGGGCTGGGGCTGAGTAAGTCTGACGACCCTCTCAGGCATGAGCGCAGACAGGACAGCGGCCCGCAAAGACCGCCGCGCTCACGCCCCTGGCTCCGCGTCGCCGAGGGGGCCGCGGTCCTCATCTGCCAGGGCTTCGAGCACAAAACAGCCCAATGGGCAATCGACTGAATCATCTGGGGCATCTTAGAAGGGAGACTCCACCGCAACGGAAAACATCACCACCTGGATGAACCCAGCGGATACATGCTGAGTGGAAAAAGGCGGATACAAAAGATTACATATTGTGTGATTCCATTTACATGAAGTTCAAGAACAGGTAAAACTGATTGTTCGAAGTCGGAGTAGTGAACTGGGAAGGGGAGGCGGCGCTATGTGGGCGGGAACAACGGGAGGCGCCCCATGGGACTCGGGAAGGGGCCCTGGGGCGCGACCCGGGTGGAGCTCCATGCAGGTGTCCACCTCTGGAAAACGTAGCAAGCTGTACATTTTATGACCCTCACAGTTCTCTCTCTTACTGGGAAAAACGAAAGCACATAGATGACCATTTTCAAAACGGACAAGTGAGCCTCGCACTGATTCTAACGGCAGCTCTGCGGCTGTGGCCCACCGCTCCTCGGCTGCCCCGTCAGTAAAACAAGGCCGACCGTACTTACCCTCCGCCTGTGGGAACGTGCCAAGGGAACAAAAATGAGCTACGAGCATCTTAAAACCCTAGGTGGAAAAGTCCCACACAACATGCGTAAACCATGAACGGCATTTAACGGCTTCATTTAAGACCTGTACGAAAAAAGTGACCTACATGCTTGGTTTCTAATCTTAACAGACACCTTCGTAAAAAGAAAGAAACAACTTTGCAAAAATCCCTTTCCGTTGGCCAAAAACCTAAGCACAAGGCAGAGATCGCCCGAGACGCAAGCACCGGTCAAGCCCGCTACTCACTGCGGCGGCAGGACCAGGGTGGTGGGCTGAGCCTTCGGCCGGCGCTTGGCGGACACCCCCATCTGGTTGGCGGAGCGTTTCAGCGACTGCTGGTTCAGGAGGCCGGAAGCCAGGCCGGCGTGGTACTGCAGCTGTGGAGAAAGACGCCACACAGGGCCAGGAAAATGAGGTCCGGTGGGAGCAGCGCGGCGGGCGAGGCTATCGACACTCGCTACGTCTTGCCCCTTTAGAACAGTTTAAACCGTTTCAAATACAGCTGTTCACATTTTGCGTCAAGGACTGTGTTCATAAGGGGACGGACAAACAGCGAAAGAAACACGAATGAGGACGCTCACCACGGCGCCGCACAATGAAGGACTAGAAAGGACAGTAACTGGGACGTAAAGAACCCAAACAGGTTAGACTGTAGGGAGAGACACTTAAAAAACTGTTCTCTAAAATGTTGGCAGTGCATTTCCGAGCAGTGGAATTTGAGTAATTTTTACTTTTCATCACTATTCGCATATGCTCTGTGTAAGTGGTTTGAAAGCCTGTGCCATTTTTTAGAAGGAGACCCAGAGGGTGTCCTCCAAGAGGAACTGATCCGGGAACTCTTGCTCCTGTCTCGTCCTGATGCAGAGAACCAGGAGCCTAGGCAGCGCCGACCGTAAGTTCACAAGTGTATTTGACAGCGAAGTATACGCGTGGGCACAGGCTCGCTACAGAGAAGGGGATGGAGAAGTTCACTTCGCTTCCTGTACAAGCTACTGGGCTACAGCGAGGCAAGGAAACGGCAGGCCTTCAACGGGCTCGCGGCCGCCTTCCTCCGCTCCGTTCTGGACAGACCGCTGAGCTTCCAGGTTACCTGGGACACGTCACTTTACTTCTCTAGACCTCAATTTCTCTCCTGAAAATGAGAAATAATACTGCCTAATTCTAAACCAAACAGGGCTTCCTTTTTAAAAAAAATCCACTTTGAGTTATAATTTACATAAAATAAAATGCACGTGTTTTGAATATACAGTTTGACGAGTTTGGGTAATGTATACACCTGTAGAGCTGCCACCCAATCAAGACATGGGAGTTTCTATCACTACAGAAAGCTCCCTTGGGCCCTGCTCTAGACGATCCTCCACGCCCAACTCCTACCACTGGGATCTTCTGCTTTAAAATACAACTAATGCTCACTCGTTTTATCCGTTTCGACATTTCTACCTTCCTTTTTTAATCCCATGCTTGTATATTTTAGACCACAAGAGTTGTCATCAATCTCTCTACAAGAAAATGATCCTTGAAAGGTATCCCAATTCTGAACAGATGCAAATAAAACACTCAAATGTGAACATGCCAAGCTAAGAATTTGGACTGAGACCATTTATAACATCCAGTATGTTTCTTCCCCCTTCTCAAATTAAGCGAGGTCTTTCAAACATTTATTTAGAATTAAGTGAACATACAAACAGTCATTCATTCTGACGCTCTGAATCAATTTCTTTGTGAAATGCTCTTCCAAGGATAGAGCTCCTCTGCAGAGTCAGCTGCATTCCAGCTCATGGTAATGACACTATGCTAGTGGCCACCGTTTCGGAGGGGCTGGGCCCGGGACGCAAAGGGCAGTAATGTTCTGAAAAACGAATGGCCTCACCCAAAGCCAGTGGGCTGCACACGGAAAGAGAGCGAGAACCAAACCAAACCAAACCAAACGATCCGCTGCTTGAAAGCGGCTGTAAAATGAAGACACCCGGTGGCCCAGGAAGACTCAAACGCCCGTGTCTGGAGCATCCACATTGCCTTCTAACAGCCTCTTGCCACACGTGGTCGATCTGCGGCGGGAGCCTGATGGCTTCACGATACGAGACAGAGATATATCACATTCATAATAAAAATGGAGCTCCGCGAAGGGTGGAAGAGGGGGGCATCATTTGGCTTTAACAACTCATCTTAGACCAATGAATTTTGCTCAAATTTGTTTTTCTCCTACAGATTTCTTAAATGGGAAATCAATGGAAGCAAGGGACAGTACAAGTTTGAAAGACAATGTTTCAAAATGTCAGCTACTTGGGTTTCGATCTTCCCCACCAGAATTTGCAATGAGTGCAATATGCATGGGGCTTTATGGAATTAAAGGGAAAGACAGCTTGGCAGGGGTCCCCTCTTGGCTCTCTGTTTGGCTCCTCTTCCTTGTATCTGATTAGGGTCCATGCAAGCTCAGCCGTTCCAGCCCTGCTGACTCTTTGAGTGGGAGAGTCCTGCTAACTATGCAGAGTGGCAGGGTGATTCTGCCCACCTGGCATCGCTTTGATCCTCTGCTCAAACGAAAGAAAGAAAGACCAAGCAGAAATAAATGCCTGCTGACTGATGTCTGTCCGTCTTTTAAAGGGTTCCTTTAAAGCCTCTACCATCTCGGACAGTCTTAAGGTATAGCGCACCCCTAAGAGCACAGGGGGATGGAAGGACCCCTCGTCCCAAAACTCAAAACCTGCCCTTGAAAGCTGACTCACAGTGATTAGGCGACATCTGTTAATCGTGTATACTTATCCCGGTTTCCAGGAACTCTGCTCCAACTGTCAAGATCTATAAGGGGCCCATTAAATATTTACCGAACCATCTTTATAATGGGAGAAAAGGTCAAAGTTAATAAAGCTGACAGGCAGCTCCTGTCCTGCTGCATTTACGCACCATTAAAGCACCAGATACCCTGCTCCATGAAACAGTTTAGATGTTGGAAAAAGTCCACTCAGCCAGTGGTTCTATGACGGCAGACGGGAGTTCAGAGCTAACCCGCCAATTAATATTAAGCACGTATCACTCCCCAAAACACTGCCATAAGTCTTCCATTACAGGTTCTGCAATATTTTCTATAAAAATGTATTTCAATAAACATACTTCACTCCAAATGTCTGTGGCATGGAAACAATTCTATTTCTGAAAGCGACGTATCAGAGTTCTAATGTGATTTTTCCATCCGAGATCAGTTCTCCACAAACCAGCAAGGATAAAATGAAAGGGGGAGAAATAAAACGATCTGTTCTTTTAACGTCCACATCCTACGGCTGTGGGGAAAGGGAGCGCTTCCGTGGCGAGCTGGGGGCCCTCGATAGTAACGGCTATTTCGGGGTTCTCTGGATTCTGAGGACATTTCTCTCAGTTCCAATCTCACTCTCTGTTACCGTCCACCTTCAATTTCCTATGACTGACCTAGGCTTCTTCTGTCAGTTCTCAACCTAGAGCCCTTTCTAATCAATTATGTCTACCAGTTTCTCTACACGTGGGTAGATTTCGACAACTCATAATGATCTGAGAAGAACACCACTTAGAATTAGGAAGACCTTGGCTTCCTGAATATTTTTAAAGTAACGCTGTTTTGGTAAATATTAAACATGCAAAAGTGCCAAGCGCTGTCAGGTGGGGTCCTGGTGAACCCCGATGGCCACACTGGGAGCCTTGGAAGTGGGGCACTGTGCTCTGGGACTAGCGAGAGCTGTGTGACCTGACACGTCCCATGTCCCTCTCTACAGAGCATGCACGTTACGTCCTCTCCAGGGACCACCTATCCCCCATGGCTGATCCCTCTGAACTGCTAAGGGACTGACGCGGGTGTCTGGTTTCGCCACGAAGTGGTAAAGCAGCGTCCCTACAATCTTGTTCAGCAAGTTAACAAACCTTTTCCCTGGGTAGCCGAAGTCTTCACAGATCCACTTTTTAAAGAAGTCCAAACTATTTTGACCCAAATTCCATTAGCTTTAATATGCTTCAAATAACAAATAATGTACACGAGAAGGAAATGATAGAAAAAGAAATTATAAAAAAAATCAGCATTCAAATGCAAAGTTTCTGACTTAAATCTTGGGTTCAGAAAATCAGGTGAGTAATGATGCCTCGTCTTCCACATTGTTCTAAATGCTTCTACCTGCTCCAAAATAGATAAAGGGCCTGTTTTCCAATGGACAGAAATTTGAGAAGAGAAGGAAATTCATCATACTGATCACATTCGATATATTAATTAAGCCAGTGGCTTTCAATTAGGCCTAGTGCTTGAAAGCTGCAGTGTATGCTGGAACCTCCCTGGGGTCCCCGGCCCAGCAGCTCCTCACAGGCCGCAGCCGCCCATCCGTCATCTGGCCTGGATCCCGCGCTAGGAAGCCTGACATTCAAAAATCTCAAAACTTATAAGTGAAATCGATCAAGGTTTGACTCTTCCCACTATAAAGATCATTATCTCCTTCTCAAGGCTTCACCAAAGCTTCTGGGGGTGGGGGTCCCTTAACCTTAAGGGATGGTTCCCTCTGTTTTTGAAAATCCCTTTACGTATAATCACACATAAGTTTGTAAGGGACACTAGCAAGACACATTGATACCTCTAGTATCTAAAGCCTTTGGATGAAGAATGTGCTAGAACTAGGTTACCATGAACCCAGCCAGCTTAGACCAGACGGCCCCCAGGAGGGGAAGAAGAGGTCAAGAGGCGGGGAGCCCACCACCCCCCACTCCAGGCCCTCTGGCCAGTTTCCCGTCTCCGAGTGCAGAGCTCCTGTCTGCAGGGGACCCGACACCCGGGAAGGCGGCTTGTGTTAGTTCTCGTCCAGGAGTGAAGCCGGCCACCCAGGCAGACGTACTGACATTGATTACTCTGTATGCTCTACAGTGTCCTGGACAGTGCACTGCAGACGGGCGATGCGGAGGAATCTGTCGACTGAGACATGGAATGGCAGGTTGGAGGAAGTGCTGCGGCCTGGCCAGCCCTGTCACCGAAGCCAGTCTGGGAACGGAATGGCTTCATCGGACAATGCTCTGAAGGCTGGCCTCTTCAAAAAGCAAACGCACTGCTCTGCACATGCTCGCCGTCGTGACAAAGCCACGAGGGAATGCCCTCTTCCCCCTACGCTACCCGCCCCTAAGCGGGCATGTCACACCCCGGGGCAGGCTCGAGTGCAGGAAGCGGCATCCGCAGGGGCTGCCCGCAGACGACCTCGAGTCACAGAACTCTAGTGTCAGAGGAAAGCCCCAGAGAAGCCATTTCACACAACAGGTGACGCCAGCCTTAACAGAGGTGACAGCCACACACGTCATAAGCGGGAAGTAGGCCCCCCGAGGTCCCCCTCACGTGCCCTCTTCACGGGGGAGTAAGCGTGCGGCATCTTTCTCAGCGGGG